CAACAGCAACAGCAACAGCAACAGCAACAGCAACAGCAACAGCAACAATTCGGGGCCTGGGGAGGCTACCCTAACGTAAGTCATTGCAAGGGCTGCAGTCCAACCCCAAAGACGTGTGAATCACTGAAAGCTGGCAACTGTCTTTCGGAGTCTGCCAAGAGGCCAAGAGGGGCTATATAAATCAGGAACCTGCAACTGAAAAAGGATGGCTTCCCCTTCCCCCCAGCCGATTTCTGGCCAAGCCAATGGTAATAGAATCCTTTACGGTTAAAGATGTAGAGGAAAAATGAACAAAGTCCACCAACTCCCTTCAAATCAATGGCCAACTATATTAATTACGTCAAAACACCGGCGTTTACTCAGCAAACTCAGAAGGATATCATATACACTTACCTCTTTTTATACTACTACTAGTACTGGAACAACAACAACTACTACTACTACTGCTACTACTACTACTACCACTACATCTACATAATATGTACTCATGTAGCGTCCACCTGCATCCCTCCTGCGTCCTGTGTCCTCACCTGGCGGGAACAAATGCTGCTTCCGCCCAGCGGCTGCCGTTGGAGCTCCGGCACCCGCTGCGACGTCCGCTGTTCGTCGCGCAGGCTATCGCCTTTGCGAAAGACGTGCGGTTGGTTGGATGAAGGGCATTGACTCTTGATTTATGATGCCCGGTTTTGATGGACACAACACAACCCGGAACTTCTTGCACACAATCAGAAGCGGAAGGCAACAATTTGACACACGAGCGACGTAGATGGCGGCAGGTTTCACGAAGTACTGCCACTTCAGAGGCTTCTTGGCTCTTCTCTTCCCTGGCGTTGGTGAAGCTTCACTCCGCTGTCTTGGTCAGCGCTCAGGCTCTCATCTTGTGAAAGGATTGGATCTGGATGGCTCTGATGAGTGAAATTGGATGAACATACATGCCGTTTCTGCCGTTTCGGATGAAGCCCGCACCGGTCAGTCGGTCAGTGCAGTCTTCGTTCAAACAATTGTTCCTCGAACATTTGGAGGTCCAGCTGCTCTGCGAACTTCACAAGCTTCAAACATAAACCAGAAAACCAACACAAACTGTGAGATCCAATCCATAAAGCAAAGCAAAAGGAACAAAAAACATACACGTCACTTAGCCTCCCAAAAAACAAAAACTGACAACCTATCCTTTGCGGAGGAAAACAAGAAAACAACTATCCTCTTTTCTGCAGTATACATAAGACCCTGAAAGCGGAGCGCCCTGCGGGGCCAAAACCATCGCAATCCGAGGGTCAGCTCTTCTCGAAGTTCTTTTAGAGTCTTCCGTAACTTTTCTATGTGGTAGTGCCTTGAACAACAAGCAGCCAACACCCCCAAGAAACAATGAACAGGAACGTCACATAGCCTTCTTTCCTGGAGGTCCTGTACTATACTATGTTCCACACGCATGTTGTTCAATATACGGTGCTGAATCAACCAATTGTTCACCGCCTACTCAAATGCAGCATATCCCAGGCATGCCCAGGCATAGGCCCATACCCAAAACTGGTCCAAAGGCCTACGTATAATACGAATAATAGGGCCTACCTACGCTAGTACTAGGATACGCGGGCTAGATGCACCCTAGGCTGTGTGGATATGCCAAAATGCCCCACATTCAATGACCACGTTTAGGAGACGTCGCCGAGGCTTGGGATAATATTCAACTTCAAGAACGAAACCTTGGGGGTTCAAGAAGGCGATTCAGGGGCGCGCGGGGGGGGCTGGAAAGAAGGGGCTATAGTATACCACAACGAGATGGTTTCGTAGCCCCTTTTAAGAACAAGCACGTTATTGCATATTTTGTATAGGTGCATGGGACACCAGTGGTGGACGGTACCAAAAGAATGAATACACTTCCCGACTCAACACAACAGAAAAGAAATCAAGACAACAACGTCACACCCGGCGGAAAGCCTAGCCAACAATGGAACCAATCAAACACAAGGAATGGGGAATTCACCCTGCAAATGAAAGATTGCGATTCGGCGATGGATTCAGGCACCTTGGCTCAGGAGCCTGCAAGAACAGTTGTTTTGGGGGGGCTTGCCCTGAATCAAATGGATTCAAATGGATTTTCATGACACGATGTCCTCCCGGCTTCTCCCGGACCTTCCCTCCCGGGCTAGTGACGCTGCAGAACTGGAGCTCCTCTCCATCTCCAGCTGCTTCTGCAGCTGCTTCACGTGGGCCTCACCAGCGATGCGTCACCAAAGTTCCGGTCCACGGTCTGCAAACGGAACGGAACGGACGGGATGCCTCGATGCGGCAGAACATCCCAGGAATATTGAACATAATAGGTCTTGCCGCTTGCCAAAATCGTCTGCAGTCTGCACATGCTCATATCCAGTGGATGCTGAGGATTCCTTTTGGGGAGGCTAAAGCTTGGGACAAACCAGTTGGCCCTGGAGCTTCCGGGCTCACCCGACCCATCCACTGTCCCCACCTGGTACCTCTCCTCCGCCTCCTCCAGCGCCCGTGTGGCGCGCGCGTGCAGCTGGTGCCGCTGCAGCTCTTGGGCCGATTCCAACTGCGAAAGCCGATGGTCGAAGCTCTGCTGTGCAAAGTCCAAGCGTGCCTGTCCGGTGGCCGGAGGGAAGGGGTGGGGGATTTGGGGTGCCTGTTAAGGGGATTTGGTGAGGGTGAAAAGAATGGTTGACCAAACCCTTGGGCAACTGGGCCGTTGCAGTGGACCGGAGAAAGTCTCCTCCAAACAAGATAAGACGTGCAGTTTGAAGAACGAATGCTGCTAACAGCTGTTTTCCGTGAATGATGAGTGGTTTCGCTTGCTGGAACATTCACGGGGGATCGAACAACATCAACGGTCAAGTGGACCGTGGATTCTCATTGCTTGCCTCGTGAACGACTTGCCTTTGCCTCATGAACGCCACACATCAACTGGAGGAGCCTTTTGAACAGCAAAATGAATGAAGGTCACGTTGGCGCAAAAAATAGGTGACCAAATTACCAAATGCAACATCTTTGGTCTATGGCCATAGATCGAGCAAACGAGCCAATCAGATCATGCTTGCACCTTCTTCCAGGCAAGCTGAATCAAGCAGGTAGTAGCTCAATTCGAGCTATGAGGTGGCCAAAGACACCAAAGTGATCCCCCAAACACAAATTCAATTCTCATTCTGTTGGAATGAGCCAGCTGCTGTAGATGGTGGGGGTCGGGGTCGTATGTCCTTCTCACGGTACAGTTTGATTGTGGGCCAGTGAGACATGCTGGACACATCTTGAAACAGTGTTTGGACCTAGACGTTGGTGTCCCAAAAACAAACCACAAGGGCAAAAACCCATGTTGGGACCTACAAAAGCTAGTGGTGCATGGCAGTTGCATGCTCTCCCATCGCCCTTGACCCTCAAACCCCTTCAACCCCTGCCCGGACAGTGCCCGGGATGCCTTCAAGTCATGCCGGCTTTGGTTCATGGAATGGAACATGGCGACTGTCCGGCGAAGCAGATTTTCTCAGTGTGGAAGCGCGGTGAGGCACAGCACTCTGGAGTGGAAGGATCGCTGGTTGCTGGCCTCCCAACAGGGAAGTCCTAGGAGCTCTACACGCTGAGCATGCGAGCATTTCCGTGCTTGCTAAAGTGCTGGGCAAAATAATTCTGTCAGGAACTATCATCTGCTGGCAATTCACAGCAACAAACTGCTTTGTTGGAGTGATGTTGGCATGAACCAGTTGACCACGGTGTTTGAACGTCATGTAATGTAGAAATTGGGCATATGTGCTGACCGTCATGGACCGTCGCAGCCCATCAAACCTCGCATCTTCGATCTCTGAACACATAACTTGCCGTTCTGGCCACAGAGTCAGTCTTGAGCAAGAGCCATCCAATCTGCACTTCAAGAGGGGGGAGATGTCTTCTTGCTATATGAGTCTTGGGTGAGTTGCGTTGTGCTCGCTAATCCTTGATCTTGACGATTGAAAACCATATGATACAAGGGCGGGTTTGAGTGGCATTGGGTTCCACATCTGGAGCGCATGGAGCGCTACATCCGCAGAGTTATATAATTTTCGGTCACAGTCACCACTTTCTTGAAAGCCAATCGAATGTTGATAACTCAATTGGTTATGAATTAGCACATGCCAAACTGCAAAAGGTTTATGAAGGGAACAAATTACAGTAGGGAACAGCCTTCCAAACAACTCCAGCAAGCGGCGACATATCAATTCAGAAGCTCCTCAAACTGGTGCCCTGTGGCTACTACTCATGCATTTTGCATGGTCATCCTGTGATTCATGTGCCCTCACCACTGACTTGCACCAATGGACCCCTCAAAGCCTCCAACCAGTGCAGCGTCTCGTAGCGTCTCGCATGCTGAACCCCTTCACCCGAACTGAACCGGTTCAAGCCGAAACCGCCCGCTGGGAGGGTCGAAGAAGAACCTCCATGTCCTCAATCTGTTCCCTCGAAATCTCGAACCTCGGGCGAGGCGGAGCGCGGTCGAAAGCTGCGACGGGCGATCGGCGCAGACGTGCCAGCGGAAGGGAAGCGGACTCGTTGCGGTGACCGGACGAGGGCTGCAACAGCGATGGTGGTGGTATGGGAGTCAAGCTTAGGGAAGAACACCCAATTAGTTGGAGGCTGAGGCGAGGAAAAAGCACTTGCCCCACTGCCTGAAGTTTTGGTGGTACTTGATGGGTGGGACTTGCTGAAAAAGGGACGTGAACGTTGGGAATCGACAATCTGAAGAAGGATGAACAGCCAGGCCCGGCCGGGAGCAGCCGCGGGCCGGGAGCAGCTTCGCCGTCGGGTTGGTTGTTTTCAGGCTTGGACATGCGATGCACAGTGGCAAATGATAGATTTAGCCCACGAGCACCCTGTCTCCACTTAGAAAAAGTATAAAGTTGGATGATTCTGAGTCATGTTGCAGACCCGACTGAGCTGCAAGCTCCTTCAGCAGGGTAGTCTTCAGGAAGATTTGGACATTGAAGCCTGCCAGCTGCACTGCGAGGGAGGCTCTTCGCGCTGGGAATGCGCACATCAAACCATAGACTGTTTTTGATTGTTTTTGAGGGATCCGATGGTGGACAACAACTCGCTGACATGGATCCAAGCTGGAAATGCATCGTTTGTTACCGAAACTGTCAATGCAAACTCTTGATTTCTAACCCCTCCCAAAGGAGCTTGGGGAGGGGTAAATAGACTCAAGAGTCATCCCATGATGTCTTCTGAACCCCATCCCATTCTCCCCCTTCTCCGCGTTCTGTTCCGTGTGACACAGCCGTGTGAGTCGTGCGCGTTCGCCGATGTTCGTGTTCGTGCGCGTTCGCCGTGAGCCGTTCGGTCGCCTTCCCCGCAGGTCTGGAAGGTGAAGCTCATGTGCTTCCTAAGGGGATCTGTCAACAAGCCATGAAAGTCATGGCAGGGGGGCTGACGAATTCTCGCTCCTCTGTGTGAGGGGTTTCTCGGCCAGTCTTCTCGCTTGTTGAAGGGGATCGGTCATGGGTATGGGAAATCGTCATCTTCACACATTCACACAAAGGAGGGCCGAGAATTCGGATCGTCAGTCTCGTTGGAGGGAGTTGGATTCCTATATATTCCTATGGATTCCCTGAATGATCGTGAGAGATCGTGAGGGAGATCGGACCCCCTTTGGGCGAATGTCATGTCTTCAAAAGGTTGCCAGACCTCTTCGGCTATGACACATGGGACGGTCTCCAAAGCTTTTGGGGCCACCCACTAGGTCCGTTTAGGTGTTCATCAGCTTGGCCTGTTCCCAAACATCTTTGGTTGGCCTTTCCCTAGGCTGCCCCTTCATGCTACATGTCATGAAGAGGACTCACCAAGTGTTTCATTGGCCAGCGGTCCAACCATTTTGGCACAGGCACTCCCCACCTTCCGCAAAAGAAATCATCAGGCCGACCGGTTCACGAACCAGGTGCCCCAGCCGGGTCTTGCCCGGCAGCTTCTCGTGCATGCGGACCACCACGCCTCGTCTGACACAGCATGGTGACTGAATGACTCTTGATGTTCCGCAGTTCACATCCCCAAATGAACAGTCTCCTCGCAAGACGAAGGCACATTGACAGAAGCAAATCACCGGTTGTTAGAATTGATCAGATTGTCAGATTGTTTTTGGGAAAAACCAGCAGGCACATTGGATGGGAACTGGTTGAGACAAGGGGGATGGTATGACTACTCTGTTCGACAACGGTTACAACGGTGATAAGTTGACCACCACACGCACCTTGCCCTTGACTGAGAGAAGGGGCCTTTAAGTGGCTAAAGTGTCGATAAGCTCTTCATACTTCTCGCTCAAGCACACAAAACATGGGCCCCTGCGTTTTGGATGATTGACCACTGACAGGGGCTGACAGGGTATTGGATAAGTAGGAAACTTCAGCTGGCCCCGCTTCCGATTCCAAAACTGCAGGGGATTTCTTGACGTTTGAGAAATTCCGAGGACTTGTGTCTGCACTCCTGCAGGGACGGGGAAATGGTGACCACCATGTCACCATGTCATAAGAAGTTCTTCAAAACTTCTTTCCCTGACCCTACCAGCAGGACACACCCCCGCAGCTGGTGTTTCCCAGCAGCAGATCTGGTTTTTCCCAGCAGGGGGGAAAGCAACCTTCGACTCCGCCCCGAGCGGCGAGAGGACTCAAGCGCCTTTGGACTCAAGCTGTCCAAGAGAGAAGGTCCTTGGAGGGAGCCGAGTGGTGTCCTGACTCCCCCAAATCACCTGGTAGACTCCCCTAAACTGACATCATGTTGACGGGTGATGAAGGCTTCTTGTGACATCTGATGAATGACCCTCCCGGAAGCCAGGAGGATGTGAAAAAACGTTCAGAGCGGGGTGAAGAAATGATGACAAACCACCATTGAGAAACGGTATTAATTTGGTTGAGGCTTTGACCTTCAAGCATGAAGGAAACGGTCTTGCACACCTTCCTGAGGGGCGCGTCTTCATTGGGGGCATGTGGACCTCCGCCGTTCCAGCTGTATGCCGTACGTACGGTGTGCCTTTTTGACCACACGTGAGTCAGTGTCTTGGACCTGAAGCCAGGGATACCCCAGACCAAAGAGTGGCGAACGGCTCGTGCCTCTACTATACATATATCATACACCACACACATGTCACAGAATCCACCAAATGCCCCGCATAGTCGTGCAACATTCTAGAGAACAACCATGACTCAAGAACCAATTTCAAGATGGCGCCAATTTCGAGGTGAAATTGGAACCACCCGTGTGCTGGTGATTCAGATCATGCCCGCAACATCCCTCTTCCACGCTCTCCCTCTTGCCACGGAAGTTCCGCACTTTGACATGCCGTGTGGCTGAGTTGGAATGATGGACTCCTTAAGCTCCTCCAAGCGCCGAATGATTCATGGCTTACTTCCTTGAGGGGGTGTCACTCTATCATGAATCCTGTGCGGCCATTGATTTGCAGATCAGGAAGGATCAGGTCTCCTTTTTCCCAGTAATGCTGAAGGGGAAGCTCCAGCCTCAACCATGGAATATACATAAGAAGACCACGCCGCTTAGCATTGACCATCTCCAATTTCATAATACCTGGCCATGACCATTCAACCAAACCACCCCTAATCCCGCGTTCTAAAAAACAACATGCCAAACAAACAGTCCCAGCCAGCAGTGAAACCAGTCTCGAGCGTAGACGTCTAGCCATTCAGGCCATCGGCGGCGTCCGTGCGGATGTCCTGCAGCTTGCCAGCATCACGGCTATCATCTGTGCCCATGGTGTCCATGATCTTCTGCCCAGGCCTCAGTGGACTGCACTGTATAGAACTTGTGTTAGAAACACCCGGCGCAAACACTTGGAGAATGTCTCCAGCGGACTTTGGACACCAAATACAAAGTCATGTCACGTCACCACAGGGTTCCGCACGTTGGCTTCGTTTTCCGGATACGCCTTGGCTTGGGCGCAAAGTTCAAGTGATCCAAGGTGACCAAGAAAAACAAATGCGGTGGGGGCTCATCGATTGGGAGTGCAAGATCATCACTCAGGGATACAGCAAACCCTTTGAACTGTGAACTGGTTATCGTGGTGCGACGTGTAAATGTATATAAATATATATATACACATATATATATATATTATATTATATAAGTAATATAGTAGTCTATCGTGAACTACCCTCCTCCAAGTGGATTGCAATTGTAGTTCTAACAAATGTTCCACCATGGCACACTTAAGCTACTTTCTTTGTTTGAGTACTTTGGTTTTTCTCTTGGGACTATCATGAACTCCGGTGGCACGAGACGTGAAACCATCAAACGAGGCAAGTCCAATTATCTGGCTGCATTTGGGGTTCCCCTCCTGAGCTGGCAATGGCCGGCCAGTGTCCCACACATTTGAAGGCAACTGGATCCAGTTTCGCCTCTCCTGTCCCTCGACAATCCAACACATGGCCCTCACTGGGACCAAGAACGCCCAGACCGACACCGCAACTCAAAACACGCAGATTGTTCATGTGGTTTCCCGATTTCCAAAATTGTGGTTCTATGCTCCGGTGGCAGCACTCCAAGGAAGGCAACATCCAAACTGAAACCAACCTGATGTTCTTTCGGCAGTGCCAGGCTTATCACCGTTCAGCCGTTCAAGTTTATCTCTCCCAAGATTCCTGAGAAAATCTGACCGGGCAAACCATCCTCATCCTCTGTGAGACGATACAACCAGCACTTCCCAGCTGCAGGACGAGCCCCTGGGGTCCCAAGCTGCTTGATCCTGCGGAGTCGCAAGAAGGAAATCTTTTCGCTGCGCTGGGCCGCCTTAGACGGCTGCGCTAGGACCACTCCAGTGGAGGAACTCCACCAAGGACGTTCGACCGACAGGTGAGATGATGCCTCTGAGATGCGAAAGAGACACCGCGACAGTTCTGGTGCCAAGCTGGGACACGCTGGGACACGGCTCAATCAGGCTGGATTCAAACCATCTGTGATCGCAGAACATCCAGGAGGAACCCGATGCACACAAGTCCTTTTGGCCAGTTGCTAATGTTGCTGCAAAGATCACACCCTCCAAGAAAAGAAACCATGATCTCTGGACACTGCTCTGGCTGTGGACCCTCTCAGAAAGTCCTTGACATACATACAGTCCAGACTATCGTCCAGTAATAGGTCTCTTTGGTGGCTAATTTAATCCTCGGGAGTGATCCCCAAAATATCCTACCTCAGGAGATGTGGGTCATATAGCAGGGTCATCTAGTACACAGTGATCATATTCTCTTTTTTGCTGCTCATTCCGTGGGATAAACTGCTTGACCCAAGTTGAACCCCTGGGGCGCAGCCCAGTGACTGCCATGGTAAAGCGGCTCGGGCAAGTGCAGTCCCTTGGTGCTCGGGAAGCTTGGGCGAAGACCGGAAGAGTGCTGAAGAGCTTCCACAGCAGCTGTGGGTTTGTCTTTTTCTGGCTTGGGAATGTGCATTTGCTGCTTTTTGCATGAGTGCCATATCAATGCTACCGGCATTCACCAGTGGGAGCCAATATGTTCTAACTGTTGATTGTATTTGATTATAAGTATACTATATATTATAAACGTCAATGTCCATGTCCATTCCCAACATGATTATAACAACATCCGTTACTGCCCGCACTCGTTTGGTGTAGCTGGAGGATGCTCAAAACCCGGGCGAAGGCGGATCTTCGTTGACTAAAAAAGGCAGAAGGCCGTGCGCAACAAAGAATGACCATCCAAACACCATACTCTCAAACTGCTCCTGTACAAGCCCACGGAATCACCACAGACTCTTGCTTAAGACCCCCCCGCCCAAAACATGGACAGTAAAACCATGTAAAACCTCTTCAGGCTTTGGCAAACTTAGGGTGAACTCGAATCCAACAGTCTACCATATCATATAACCATCCCACTCCTTGGTGCCCCTGAGCTTCAGCCACCAAGCACCCAAAAGCCCAACAAACCGACGCTTCTGACCCATCCACTTCTTCCCGTGGACGTCCGACGTCCGGGATCCGTCACGTGGAAACCTTCAGGACTTCTTGGAGCGTCTCCTTACGACCGGAGTCCGGACGGAGGCGGACCGAGGATTCCACCGAGGAAGGGATGGGAGCTGCGATGGGAGCTGCGTTGTAAGCTGCTTGTCGTCATGTGGATCGCTGTGTGGATCGTTGTGTGGATGTGCCTTCTTTGGGATCTGCTCAATGAATCTTAATTGTTGTATCACACCTTACACTCCCCATCACTCCCTAACCCAGTTGGCAACCAACTGGTAGAAGATCAACATCCAAGCTTGTCTGCGCTGTGCAAGTTTTGGGAAAGGACATCAACAAACACCTCACATGCCCTCATAAATCGCAGGCATGAAAAAAACAAACCTGGGTTTGGAAGAGGAGGCTTCACTCGACCGGCTCCGAATGGATGCTGCAAGGGTCCCTGAAAGGGCGCTCACACAACATGGTCCAACGCTCTGACTGGTTCGTGAAGTGGCTTGAAAACAGGACCAACATAAGTTCATTCACTTAAAAAGTCGCAGCAAATTCATAACAAATGTGTCTTGGGGATTCTTAAAGCGCCACCAATGTGTCATCTGAAGGCAGTTGAGCCATTCAACGCAGCCTGGGTTCTGGCGGAACCTCAGGCGCAAACACCGGCCACAACGCACTCCAAGCTAGGTCCCACACTACATGCTCCTTCGCGCAGGGGAGAAGAACGGAGCTAGACTCCAGGTCTAGGGAAGATTTTCTGTTCAACATCTTTAGTTAGTCTCTCGACTTGGTCGCGGAGCGTTGCTCGCAGTGCTCGCAGATTCTGCATTTGTGAGATTGAAATCAAATCAGTGAACACTTGGGCCTTTCAACATCACCAAAGCCTCTTCCTTGCCAAATCCCAGGGTGAGGCGTCACAACAGACGTCACACGGCGTCACCTGGCGTCGGTGCCTTGAGGTCACTCAGGTAGGACTCTCGGCACTTGAAGATGAGCTTGTCCCGCTGCGAGGCGGATTCCAAATACCTGCCCATATAGCTGCAGCTGGCAAGCTGCAGCTTGCTGAAGCTTGAAGCAGGTGCATGACAGCCAAAAACGAGTGGACAACTATGGACAACTGTTAACCCGAAAGTTCCGGCCTTGCGAAGTGAAGGTTGCGGGCTTTGACGAGTGTTCAACTTGGTCCTTAGATGTCCTTCAAGCCTCTGAAAAGCCGCTAGGCCTGTCCCCTGACTCTAGTAGCTACTTTAGCGGCATCCTGGTATACACTTCTTGTATGGAACAATCACCCGCTTTCCAGCATTGCCTTTTGGTGTTTGAACAATCTGAACAGCTTTCAAGAACGACCTGTTGGGGGATCACCTGCCAACCCGCAGCACAAAACCCCGCGGTGCCAAACTCCGGCCTGGCATGCACATACCGCCGCTGCACTGAGCGGTCCTGGGTACAGGAAGATCAAACGTCCGATTCTCAGACCCAATTTAAGCTGCAACACGATCAATGCGAGTGGAGCAGCCCACACAAAACACAACGACCACATGCTGCGGGACGTCTTTCGGCGAAAACGGGGGTCACGGGGCCTCAAGTGCTACCAGGTCCAGGAAATGGACTGATGATGACTGGTGCTCAGTGCTCAGTAAGTTGTCATCTTGACATTCACCTGTTTTGGGTTTCCGGGCAATGTACTTCATGAACTCCACCTCCAGACGCTTTGCCTGCACGCTCTAGCGCTTCGGGTCTGCGTCGCGGTATTGTTTCTGCAGGCACTGCTCTAACGAGGTCAAGCTACATGCGCACATAGTCAAATTGAACCTGGTGGGGTGCCCGGCAGTAGAAAAAGGGTTCCCCTTGCCTTCACCCTCTGCATATTTCAGTCGTGTCTTGGAGCGAATTGTTCCCAAACCATGTGTTAGGGAACCGCCACGTTTCAGCACAAGTAAGCAGTGTAAATTCGACCCAAAAAATCCCAAGTCCCCAGCCCAGGAGTCAAAAAATTCATTTCCTTGATCCTCATGGCTGACCAGGCTTTAGGCGGACCAACTCCCCCCCAAAACGGACATCCCATCACCTAGTGGATATCAACTATGTTATTTTACGTCATTTTCTAGGCAAGCCTCATTTTCTTACCGCAGAACGGGTATCCCATCGCCAAAACATGTGACCCATCGTCGTGCAAGGCGCCCTACGCGAGTTTTAGAAAGCGGGCGCCCGTCACCTGCATGACTTCGTCGATGATCTTCTTCCCCTCCTCACGGGCTTCAAACAGCTGGGCTGTCAGACCCAAAGCCAAACAGGACCCAAGCAACCACATGTCACCTGGAACCCATTTGACCTGATAGGGAACATGGGCCCTGCCTTAAGGCCACCCCCATCTACCACCCACCCTCAATTACCTAAAAAAGTCATTTGAGGATATTTGAGGTGGGTACACATACAATTTGAGCAATAAATTGGGACTGTCCAGGTGCTCAATTAAATTCCAGGTCTTACAACCCACCACCTCAAACACAAAGAAAAAACAATTTGAGGTGGGCACCACATCCATCCACATCTAGAGTCTAGAGGTGAAAATTAATTAAAGCGTGTTCAGGGGTCCAGCAGCCCTTAAATAAAATTCCAGAACACACAGCTTTCTCACGCCATGATGAGCGACCAGTTGCGTATTGCAACGGCTCTACCAGTCTTTCCATTTCATTCTCTGTCCTATGTCCTAAATGAATTGGCACAAAAACAGATTGGGCGATCCAGGTCTTAGGATTTACATCCGCACACTGCTAGTCAACCACACCAACAAGAGTGAGCTGAAAATCAACGCCCGCAAGATTCCGTAAGGATCCAGAAATTGAGCGTGCCCAGGACCAATCCTCAAAAAAAAACTACTTGAGGGGTTTACCCAAAAGCCGCGAGCGACCTCTTTTCGGAAACGAGGTAATGAATTATTGGTTTGACACCCAACGGGTGTATAGAGATTAATCCCGAGTACCTATAAAAAAACGGACCCCAGTTTAAAAGTCATGTCGGATCCCCCTAAATACGGCTTATATTTGCTTTAAATTACCGCCTTTCAAGCCGCTACTAAACTACCAACAAGGCCAATTTTGGAGGTATTTTTCTTATTGGGTTCCAAAAACAACCGTAACTGCCCACCTCTGTCCGCCCTGTCTATCCACCATGACACGCTGCGCTTACACCAGCAGGCTTTCCTTCCCCCAATGGCACGGACTCACGCAAACGCACTTGCCACCGAGGTCATGCAACACCGCATGGAGTTTAATAAATGAGTTTATATATATATATAATGTTCCTGGATTACTTTTTGGTTTTGAAACTCTTTCCAGGTGACCCTATTTTGGACCCCCCAAATTCAGGGACCCCCTATTAGAAAAAATGCGACCGAGGTTTCCGTATTAGGGGGGGGCGTGTTTTTTAATAGGTGGAAGGGATTATTGAACACCTTGGTGTATCTCGGTGTCACTGAACAGGCAGCGGTCGCTACCGTTCGTCCTGAACCTTCAAAGTGTCAGGAGCTACTCAACCACCCCCAAATATCCCCAAGTTCCCACACTCGACACCCTAACTGGGAAAAAAACACAACAAATACAAGAAACAAATCAGGATAGCCTTCTGGACTACCAGGGGGGCCCTGATTAGTAGCGATGGCCTCCAACCTAATAGCCATGGCTCTGCTCACGCAGGATGGATCACCACCATCAAAATTAATCCTGGTTAATTTTGAGTCCGTCATCCACCAAATCTAATTCCTAATTTATAATTAGTCTCTACATGGGAAAATATAAATACTGAGGTGAGATGACTTAGGCTATTTGGGTCTAAAAGACATACAACTTTCCCAGGGCAAGTCCTATGTCATGTACAAATGTAAACTCTGCAATATCATTGGCACACACTCATGACATAGGCCTTGTTGACCTGGTCCTCAGTTTTTTTAAAAAGGATCTTTGGTGACAACCTCTGGCATCTCTGATTTTGATGTTTTTCAAAGCTTTTGTTTCATGACATACACACTTGTGGGGGGTAGGCTAACCTTCATGACTTAGCCGCAGAAATTTGGAGGCACTTTTCACAAGTCCTTTGTCATTTCAGCTGAGTATAATCTTACTTAGTTGAGTGTTCATCAAGAAATTAATCCTACACCACCACCTACTAGGGTCCCAGAATTAGTTCTATTCAAATTTTAAGAATACTTTATAATCCTGGAAAACTATTTGGACCACCCATCCCACCTACAAAATAATTTCACAAGGTAGGACCCATGGAAAAAAAATATTGTAGGGTGGCTGGTGGTCTAAGATAGAGGTCATTCAGGTTCCAGGCACATGTCCATTCAAGAAACGCCTAAAAAAAGACAAACTGCATTCTCCAACCTCCAAGTCCATCACCAGGCCACGCATCTTGCTGGAAGCATTCCCTGGGCAGGCTAGGTGTTTGTGTCTTAAGGTTTGTGAGAGAAAATCAAAGCTTGGGACTCTTGGGACCATAATTATGGGTCTAGTACTGAGCAGGTGACTTGAGTATATAATCAAAATCAGTGTAGAAAGGGAAAGAGACCGGGGACCGACAAGGATTCACAAAGAAGTGCAAAAACAACTCCTGAATATGTGATGGCTAGGTTTTCTTGAAAGCGAACTCTATGGGAGCCCTGATCAGGCACATATAGTGGCAGGGGAGGCTGATTTTGAGCTCTTTATCCCGATGAACAATAACAACTGACCCCCTCACTTTCCAAATATACATATTTATATGCAACATATAAACTATACTATCGGTTGTCCGCTCACTGGGTAGGGCAAAAACATCTCATTCATCCACACCTTTGATCCACACCCAGCTCGCTGAGCTCCTGGCCATCCTTGATGTCCTGCCGACTCACAACAATTGGCGGAAAAGTGTCCAGAACAGGTCCAAGAAAAGCGTTCAGCTGCCCGGGGTGACCTCACACACCTTCCTCGGGCCGTGTGAGTCCTCAAAACTGCTGGTTTAGTGAAGCTCTTCTTTTGTGCAAACACTGCATGGAGCAGGTGGAACAAACATGTTCAACGGGTCTGTCAAACATCTTCAACCCTATCGAGGTCTCTCCTGATCGATCAACATCTGACCAAGGATAGTGTGGAGGTTCCAGGTGCTCGGACCAGATGCTCGTATGAAAAACAAGGAGAGTGGGTGGACAGCTGTCGGACAGTTACTTAGGAGCAATGCTAATCTGAAGGAGCCCCGATTCGGGACATGGGACATTGCGTACTCAGGTCCTGCTGCAGGGCCTTCTGAATCTTGCTGAAGCCAGTCCTTCACAAGCTCCAACATAATGAGAAAGCGATCATTGAGAAAGCAACAAGCTGTTGATATCGACAAATCCCGCAGAACATGAGAAGGACACATCCATGATCAACCATGCAACCACTGGGATGCCCTCTACAGCCCACTCACTTGTCATCGTGGAGTTTTCCAAAGCTCCCGGATACCTACACAAGACTAGGTGCCCTTCAAACAATACAGGCAAGGCATATGATCTACGGTGTGGTTATTATATATTATAAAACTTAGGGTTCTCAACAAAACGATGTGTTCCAATGCCTAGAGCCTAAAAGCCTAAAACATATGATCCGACAGGTGCTGAGGCAAAAAACTGCCTAGTTCCTGACTCAAGGTACCACCGGGCCATCATGTGCATCGTGCTTTGAAGCATCGAAGTGCTGAAGTGAGCTCCCCAGACTTCCGGCCTCAAGTCTATCCAGTTCTGGCCTGAAGCGTGGAGATGCTTTTGGGCAGGTTGGATTCGAGTACATTCGAGGACTTCATTTGTGTCTGTGGAACGATTTTCTGGTCAGGTGTTGAAGTAGCGGTTGCGTGGTGCCTCAACGTGCCTCAAGTCAAATGCCTTCTTACTTTGGCCTTTCAAGTGATTTTCTTTCCAACACGACAGCGGTTTCTTGCCCTGATGCGGGTTGCCTGTGATTTGGTACTTCACATCATCATTCTCCTCAGCCGGTCGCAATCCTACAGGCAGATGCACTCTCATGCCTTCTTTCCTAGACATGCCTTTTGTAGAAATAGAGTCCTTACATGAGACCCCTGAAATACCGTGAAGTGGGACTGGAACCTGGAAAAGCACGGTCCTCAGGATCAATGGCGGGTACAGCAAACACACACACAAAAAGAAAGACTCATGCACAAGAGAGGCACGCTTTGGGCATACTATCTGTAACTGCATCTGTCATGAAAAGAGAGGCGCATGGGTCAATGGCATCTCGTCGATTGGTTACATTCAGTTGACCCCCTGCTTCTTCCTAAGCAAGATTATGCTAAGGGAACACAACCCCGAACATCAGAACTTGCATCCAAGGCAGACAACTCTCAGAGGCGAGCTCGCTTGTTGCCAGACAATTCCTGGATGATCTCCTGCGGTTGCAGCCAAACTGGCAGCTGTATTGATATAAAAGACCAGAGCGACAACAGAAGAATGCCTTTTCAAACATCTCCCAACGGCTTTTCGGGGAAGTCCATGTTCTGTTTCGCGTCGAGTTCCATTCCTGGGTCGCATCTCGGATGAATAAATTTCACTGGCCCAGCCTCCAAGTGCTCGTACCTGATGGGCTGGAGTGAAGCAAAATCGTATCCTTGTCCCTTTCGTGAGTGTACCCACTGTCACAGGACCCTTACCATGGCTTTATGGTCCGAATCGGGCACATCCATAGGATTCCACTAAGAGCATCTAAGAGCTATAAATGACTACAGCATGGTTGGGGAGTAGCGGGGGGGTTCAAACAAATGTGACTGTTTCAGCACGCCTGCACGCTTGCCTGATTCAACACCTACATGTGTCCACTGACTCCACTGATGAGACAAGCCCTGAGCTTCCGGACACTTCCACTGGCTCCGGTAAGCCTGCCAGGGTCATCAGCGGCAGCCTGAGACCCGGTGGCAGCAGTGGTGCTGTTGGTATATATCTATTGGTTCGTTGTTTCTATGGAACCATGCTGCAGTAAAATAGCTACAGTACACTCTACAGCGCTATATATATCATATATATATATATCATATACCTATATATTGCCTAATCTTACCTGTTGTAGGTGGGAGGAAATCAAGGCTGTGGGCTTCTAATATGCTGTACAATCATAATATTTACAGTATTTGTGGACTCAAATTTGGGCGAACTCAAACCTCACTGGTTGCACTACAGCCTCTACACCATGTCAAGCAACGCTTCTGGGAGGAAAACACATCTATCTTTGATGCTTCGTTAAGTAAAGCAAACCTTCAAAATATTATATAATATATAATATATATATATACTTCTTCATCCTCTCATCGCATTCTCTCACATTCACATCTCTCAGCTGACTGTCCCGACTCCCTGGAACCCTTCTTGGTTCACCCTTCTTCCACCTGGATTGGTGTGGAGTGTGTCCCCCCAAAAAAACACGTCGATCCCGATCCACTTGTCCAGGGTAGGCAGGCCTAGATCACCCACGCCCGGGAAGCAGACCAAAGCCGAAAGGAATTTCGTTGAGGTGAAGTGATTGGTCTATGACTCACTCACATGGAAGATATGGAAGTCGAATTCATTAGACAGCTAGTCATAGAGAGAACATGGTCCCCAACATGGTCTAATTCACTTGGTCTCAATGGTCACTCACATGGAAATGGCATATGTTCTAACCCTCTGTTCTTCGCATTGAGGACAGTCGTCTTCTGTCGTCGGACCATCCAACCCATGTATTTTACAGTGGTCTCAGAGTAGATGGCACAATGCCCAAGTTATCCCAAGTTGGGTGGTTTCTATGGAGCCCTGTAAACCAAAAACTGGCGGTGCCAGTGCCATCTACTTTGAAACCCATCGTCAGACCTGCGTTGGAACCATTCCCCTGTTGACCTACCATGTGCGGGTTATTAATCCGGTCTTGACATTACGTGGAACCGCTAGCGACTGATGTGGTGTTCGAACGGAACCGTGGACGTCTGAGGGGCCGAGCATCGACTTCTCCTGCGGAGGTGAACCGAACGGTCGATGCCGGGAGAGGAACGAAACGAAGCAGTTCATGGACCTGGAACCCTCTCTGGACTCCTGTTTTGATAGGAAACAGGATGGAAAAGGCCCATGTTTTAGGGAAAATAGGTCATTCAGGTTCGAAGGGGAGATACTTACGGACCTATGGAGCTATCCATGGGATAGCATGGGCTGCAATGGCACAGTTGGGGCCTCGGGAGCACTTCGAACACATTGAGGCGCGCTGGACTTGCTCGAAAGCATGAGAAGAGGGATCAACAGGAGAACAACACGGGGGTCTTTGAGAAAACAGGTGTGGAGTACAAGTGGCCCAATATGCCCAATTTCTCAACATCCTACCAACTTCTGAACCCATAGAGCAAAGGAAACTCTAGAGAAGCCCACGGTGGATCATCAGGAAAATTGAAGGCAATGGATAAGGCACAAACAGAAACGAGCTCGTCCATCGCACATGTTTAGGAGCACAAGAACTCAAAGGCAAAACTGGCATTGCCCGTATACTATTTCTTGTTCATGGCTACTGTACCAATTACATCGAGGAAGCCTCCTATGAAGTAACATGAAGTAACGTAGAGTCGAAACTGTAATCGAACTGCCATACTGCAGTCACAGGCTCTCCACTAACTCAAAACAAGTGGGCCAAGCCATCCTACTTGGGTGTGCCTTTGCTCTGGGATCCTCATGATCCTCTGGGTGTGGTTGTCCCCCTTGAAACAAAGTATTAAACAGCAAGAGCCCACTGGACCATCCCAGCCTGTACAGTTCGAACAAAGACGATGTTGCAAACTCACCTCAAGGACACAGCCTCTTCAGTCCACAACTGGCCCCTTTGATCTTCTTAGCTGCCAAGCTCCGCAGGGTCTTCACCACTCCCCTTCTCCGCCTGTGGGACCCTTATTCATTATGAAGCTGTGTTCGCCCGGTGTTCTTGTGGATGAAGGGCCCGTCCTCATCCGGAATGGTGTACTTCTTCACGAGGTGCACCTCTCCTTGCCTCGATAAGGATCTCTGGTGCTCCTCGCCACTCGGCCGGTCGAACGGATAGATGGTTGGGTGAAAAGAAATGGCAAGGGATGGATCGGATGGATTTTGAGTGCACTAGCATACTAAATTCAACAACGCGTCTGAATGATGTTCCCAAGTGAAAACGTGTGGATGCTCTATATTAAATTCAAGGAATCCAATGACAGCACTATGCAAAGTGTGCTTTTCTTGGCTATGAGTTTCGGATGGCTTTCGCCTGTTATGGGCTCTCGAACGGAAGCGCAATGATGGAGCATCAGGACCAACAGTGCGCATCGGCTGGAAGGGGCATTGTTCGTCTTTCCCCAAGCTCTTGCTGCTACATCTTATAAAATGCCTAAAAGCTAAAGTTGTTGATTTTCGGAATCCTGCAGTATTGAACCCCACTCCCTTCCCTTCCGTCCATCGCCAGGCGACCGGGGATGGGCGCCTCTCAAGGCAGGTTTCCACAGGTGTTTGCTGCTTCGCCCGATTCTCATCTTCCAAATGCAAACAGGGCACCCGAAATGAACCCAAAATGCACCAGAATGCCTCAACCCAGACCCATGTTTTCTTGGAAGTCATAGCTTTCAGGCGAAGAACGGCCAGGCTTGGGGCTCTTCTTTGTGTCCCGTGATGAGTGTGGTGGGACTTCAGTCGCAAACCAGAGTTTATATGAACAAATAATATTACATAATATTACTGACCTGAGTAGATCGCAAAGTCACTCACACCGACCTTTCAATCTAAAAGGCTGACGAGGCGTCAACAGATTCAGACTGCGGCTCACTTGAGGGACTCCTCTCTCCCATGGCCTGGACACTCCCCTCCGGCTGATAAATATAGAACACACAACCCAAAGCTCACTCAAACAAGCTGAGTTTTGTAGGTGGGGGTCCGCATTTTTCCGTGAATTTGAGAGTTTAGGAGAATGCAATTGGAAACAGTGACGAACCCTGGATGGATCTGTTCGGATGCTGCACAGATCTGATCCAAGCCATGTGATTCTGCTTCCAATTCGTTTCTCCCACTGCCGGCCTGCGAGTGGTGGCAAAGCATCGGCTGGTCATCAGGACCATGCAAATATTCCATAAACCTGCAAGCATCCGATCGACAGGGGCCACCCTGACAGGGAGGGAATGGATGCCCTGAATGGAGTGGTCCAACAGCCCTGTAAAAAGGCCTCTAGGATGCCAAGAGGGGTGTCCTTATTCTGGACCAGTGTCGCAACCCAATTCATCAACTATCTGGTGGTGATATCACAGCGGTTGACACCAGCAACTTGACCCACAACATGCCCTTTGAACATGCACCCCAAGTGAGGAACTCGGGTCCTGAGCATCTTACACCTTGATGTACCGCGTTCTAGTGACTCTAGTGAAACATGGTGGCCCCATGTGGCCCCACTAGCCACGAAGAACAGGCTCGGTGACCAACAGTCCTTGGATCGCACCCCTTTGCCAAATTTCGGACTCAGGAGTTGGAGGCCATAGAGGAGAGCGCTGAGCCGTCCCTTTCTTAAGAGGGCGACTTGTAAGGGCTCATCAGTCTTGGGTGGTGAACCCGCTCGGATGGGCGGTGAACCCGCGGCGCACTTTTCGGTTGGGATGATCTTGGCAACATGTTGACTCAGCAGCAAACCCTCTTTCCAGGGAAGTTGGCCCCATGTCTATCAGTTGCGTATCCTCATGTCAGCGGGGCAAACGCTATGCGACTGCAGTTCAAATGCTACATGAGCTTTGCATGCTTTGTCATTCTCTCTGGGGGCCGGCCTCGCTTTCAATCGGAAGTTGTGCCACTCTCCGTGCTGGGACGCAAGCCTCAGTGCGGATCGGAGTGCGGATCGGTGTGCGGTCACCCCCTTGGCCCTTGGGGTGACGATGGATCGACCCGAGCCAATTCAGCAGATGGCCAGTTGCTCCCTTGCGTGAACCATGGGCTCTGCAGGATATATATATATATATAATATATAAATACAAGTCACACGTGGTGAACTGCGACATCCGGCGACATCACAACAAACAGCTGGCTTGCCTAAGAAAAACAACATTGCATTAGTACCACGAGCCGATTAACAGTACCCAGCAGAATTCAACAGCAAGTCGCTTGAAAAACAGGCCAAAAGTGCCCATGTGGCCCCACTACCATGCCAAGGTCACCGCCACAAGTGCCCATGCGGATGATACTCCGAAAGCTCCTGAGTCTGTCCGCCCGAAACCGCAGCCGCCGTGTGGGACGGCGGCTGGATTGCAGTTTCTTGAGCTGAGTCCAATTAGGATGTCCACTTAGAAATGAAGCCCATTAGAAGAATTACTTTCATGCTCTAAAAAGTTTTAGACATGAATCCAATTCTGATTTGATTCGTGGCAAGGTGGTTCTGATTTGATTAGAAGTTAGAAGCGAGCTCAAGATAACTCTGGTGCCCAGATCCCAGCAGGTTCCATGGTGAAACACTAGGCCCAAGCGACACATGGCATCATGACTTGCCAGGAACACGCTTCGCCCAGCCACCCCAGGTCCCACACAGTATCACCAAGTTCTCGAAGAACGTTCGACTGATCTGGCTCATCGACCCAAGTCCCCAACGGGCATGGGGACTCGTGCGGGGGCATCGAGTGGGTATTGTTGATGTTATTCATTCTTCACCAGGGGTCACAAGACGGGGTGGTTTTTAGTCCCATCCAGTGAGTGGAGTAGCTGGGCACCCCTATCCGACCCTATCCTCCAAGTTCGGCACCCTTTGTTTGTGCCGTGCCTGGAAGGATCGTCTCCCCGGCCCTCGTCCTCGGTGACCAGCTGTCCATGCTCGGTCCGAGGCTTTTCCAAAGGACGCCTGGAGCAAACGACTTTGGGTGAACGACTCCGGGGGGCCAGCTATTCAGAGATGAATCCTCTGAGTCGGAAGGATTCGGCTCAGATCTTCCTACCTCGGAGATATCGTAATTTTATATCATGAGATCAACTATGTAATCAAATAAATACAAAAACAATCAAAAACAAGGTGAGCCAGGAGTCAACGAGTTCAAAAGCAGTCGCGTCTTCGACATGAATTCTTGCACCCGCCCCGGCATGCTCAATGGAACTGGAACAAAGTTACATGATGTTACATGAAACAAATTGAGCCCGTATTATGGTTCTACTGGTCTCCCTGCTCTGAACCCTCTACATGAGACATTCTACCTCATAGCTGCTTGAGTCAGCTGCTTGAGGAAACACAAAGACAAGACATCAAAGCAAAATCCGGGATGAGATCCATATGTATCTCATCTCCTACATAACCCCCCGCTCCTTGAACACAAATGGTCACTAGTGGAAGCAGACAGCCCTGTGGGCTTCATCCCACCGAAGCGTGGCAGATCACCTGCCGCGCAGCCCGCGCGGCGCCTGTGCATCAAGTCGTCCAACACCTCGGAGAGCTGGTCCTTCAACCGCCCGCCGGCAGCGAACGGCGAGGAGGTCGGGCGTCGTCCCCTTGGTGCGCGGCCGATGCTTTTTGGTCTTGTTCTCACTCACCCAGGTTATAGTTGTTGGGTTTTTGGGGGGAGTGGTCTAGCGCAGTGGGGGGCATGATTTTTCATGCGTCTGGCTTTTGGGGTAGCAATGTCTATGGCTATGGTCTACTCGTCTACTCGACTTACTTGAAAAGGTTCCCAGGTTCCTGAGGAACAATGGCGCCCATTCACGCAATTCACGCTCATCGGATTGGACTTCTGGAATGGAACACACTCAAGCGTCCCCCACAAAGGCAGGAACAGGCTTGTGAAAGGCACGGAGAGGCTCGCGAAGCCAAGGAAACCAAGTTAGTTGAGACAGCGCTCAATAACATTTCAGAGTCCTTTTCGATGGAAGGAACCTAGACATCAAGAGATACTAGAGACCATTGAACGTTGTCTAAAAGGATCCATGTCTACAATAATTTATTAACATTGATGCTGGTCAGGCAATCTTCAACGAATTGCCTTGACGATGAACTTGGTCCAAACTTGGAAGTCGACCACATGAATCATGCGCAAAAGATCTTGTGAATGACCAAGTATGTGAAAAAACGTAACAAGCAAAAAAAGCGGTGAGCAGATGACTTCAACCTGGATGAGCAGCTCTTTTTCCGAATGCCCTTATTGTTCCATTTTCATGGATGATTTCAGGAAGGGTCGGAAGACCTTTGATGATCGGATGGGCCCGCTACGCCGACCTGTGAGGAACAGCTCCTGCGTGTCGTTGGGGTACATGTCCTTCTTGTGCCTGCGAATCACCGCGAAATCGCCGGAGAAAACGGTCGAAAACGGTCTGCACCATCGCTGCCAAGCGATGTGGCAGATCCTGAGTGAGGCGGATCCTCAGAGAGTGAGGACCAGTCCGAAACACCACCGGACCGGTTCAGCCGCTCCGCGTGCGCCGCTTCGCAGCGAAACGACGATGGGATGTCTGACCCGGAGACAGGTCCGCACTCCCGACGGAAGGGTTGGTCCCCGGAGCCTCCACTCCCAAAAAAAATGGGAGCGGGACGGCATGGGGACGTAATAAAAAGCACATCCATGGCCAAACAATTGACATCCCAAATTCATAATTCAACAGCGGCCCTGGGTGGAAAGTCGTTCCCAGACCAAAGAGACCATCTGCCTGAAGAGCACGTTGGCCATGTTGAGCAAATCCTCAAAAGTCATGCAGAAGCTCGAAGGCTCTTGGGTCAATTGTGCTGGTAGGTGTTCATGGCTTTTTCAGAATCTGCACTGGGTCAAAGCGACAAAACCCAAGCATTGCCAGTTAAAGTACCGTTTTATTGGGTCTTCAGGGTCGAAGTTTATGCACCCAATCAAAAAACAAGGGTCGATGGGTCGATGAAAACAGCAAAGCTGGATCTCAACAAATGAACCCTTTCCAACAACTTATTTATTTGCTTGCCCTCAGACTCTCCACAGTCGTCGGTTTCCTGCTTTAACAGTCCCACAACTTCAATACATACTGCGACAGAATCACCAGGATCAAGCAGAAGGATGCACAGTTGTCACATCCCCAATGCAAACCGTGGATTAATTACCCCCGCGATTCGGATTGTTAAACCTCTCCAACGTGTCTCCCCATCAACATCCATGAACTCACACCCACACGGTGTGTGCGCCAGTGCTGGTGGAACAATTCAATGGACCATCTCCTACACCACATGAGGGGCCGACACATGCTAAATACCTCGGATCATGGCACAACTCCTCCACCATCCGTTCAAAATCCATCCGATTCCAAAACCGAACTAACCTCTCCAGCCATCGGGTCCTATCCGAACTTCGCCGTGGCAAAAATGATCCAACAATCCATGGGACTGGAGGGAAAAGCATACAGTACACACACATATCAATACACACATGTGGACCTGTTAATAATCAAACCACACAAAAACCAATGAATGGTGCAATATATTCAGTTTCTTTTTGGTCTGGGACCCTGGGATTGGTGGCTGGTGGTCCGCTTGAGAGCCGCCGTTGTATGTATGTTGCATGGAGAATGGCCGCTGGGCGTAGCATCTAAGCAATCTAACTCATCATGGGAAGAAGTGTCAAGAAGTGCAAGTCGGTTTTGAGAACACCGACATTCAACAATTTCCAACACCATGCATGGTTTTTGGAGGGGTCTGTAATTAATCCACCCTTCAGTTGGTCTTTTGTATAGATTTTTCCGTGGAACAGCTCTACTTTGGTTTGGAGGCCACCGTTCGCAACTGAGGCCGGTGCCAGGGCAGACATGCTCACCATGGTGTTTTGCAGCGTGAAGTGCGACTGGGCCGGGCAAGGGAGGTCAGGGTAGGGTTCGAAGGTCTCGGGGGAGGCAAGGACATTTATATATAGAATGTTGTATGCATATAATTGGCACCGGACCATACAGTATATACTTAATCAATGAACAAAGGAGTAACCACCCTTCATCTCGATGCTTACTGAACAAGTTGCTTTCAACGATGGGACGACCAACATCTGCACAGCACATGTGAAATCAAGCTGCACCTATCATCCAACATCCATATTACACCCAACACCCCCGAAGTGCTGAGTCTGCTGGCCATATACAGATCTGTGGCCAGCTCCGCAGCAATGGGATCTTGTGCCTCACCGGGCGCAAATGTGATCACATAAGGGGATGAACAAAAATAGATAGACTCACCAACCTTCTTGTGGGAGGCCTGGAATGAAGCTCCGCAGTTTTCGGAGGGTACACTCACTGAAACCATCACCGAAGTGGAACGTAGGCCCATGGAAGACCATATTTCAACACAAGGGGGATCTTCTGGTCTGAGGGAGAGTACATCAAAGATATAACATTTTGAGACATAGATGGACGTATAGAATCCAGTTGCAACACGCGAGGTTCTGTCGAATCAGGGCATCCCATGGTATCCACCCCTTCTCAAATATACTATACCATCTTCACTCCGAATCACTCCGCTGCCAAGCAAGCACTATAGAGATCACGCGAGTGCTTCACCAAGCTAGTGGGCTACTGTTCCAAGGGTGCTTGTGGCCCGTTTTACCATTTCACCAGTCTTCAAGTGGGCAGGTTTCACACGTCTTCACGATCGCCCATTTTTCCCGATGCGTCCGCTGGTTCCGCTCGCCACACTTCGTGGCACACGGCCCGGTCCGGGAGCCACAGGTCACGGGACCCATGGCAGTGGCATTTTGGACACGCCACTGGAACCTGTGAAGCTGAACCTGTGAAGTACCGTTGCAAAGGCCAGCGGATCTGGGGGGATCTCTGGATGTCTACATAAAGGCATAAAGGACAGCATCTTTTCATGTCCTTTCTTTCTTTGTTGATGAGATCTTGTTGATGTCAAATTCATGTCGTTTTGGGGAGAATAATGTTTGAAATCCATGTTTCTCCGTACTTTTGGATCTGCTGATATGTCCACTAAGCTTCACTGATACGGCCCAAATAGGCCAAGCGTTGTTTAATGTGTTTTTTGGGGGTGAATTGACCACCAAGCAAAAGGTGAAGAGTTCTGGCTGAGGACTTTGGCATGTCTTGCATCATGAGCAGATTTTGGGATAATACAACCCAGGATGGTTGCCACGTTTCACAGAAAACACCCGGCATGAGATCTGATACCATTTGCGGGGTTCACTGTATATCTTGTACAGTAATGCATGTTTCTTCAACGGCAGAACCGTTTTGGGTTGGTGGTTGGTGGTTTTCACCCAGCTAGCCAATGTTCATTGATGCTAGCTGCTAGGGACTGACACCGCATGGAATTCCTGGATTACACCGAGTATTGTTTTAGGACATATAGATGATATAATATCATATGTATATATATATATATATCAACTCACTGGGCGACCAATTCCACGACTTTGTGGCTGGTGTGCTCTACTTGAATATCAACCAGGTTCCCATACTCTTCACCATGTCTTGATGGCTCCATCTTCAAGTTGTGAACGGCCCCAGCACCAGAGCCTCCTTGGCCCACGTGCATGAGCTCGGGCCCGGCAGGAGCTCGAAGAAATGTACTTTGGCAAAGACCATGAAATCCAACTACAGAAACATCCATCCGAACATGCCCCATACATGTGGGTAATTCTTCAAGTCCCATGGATGGTCTGGGAACAGAAAAATCTGTAGTGTTCTGATGGATTCTCAACATGTCCTCATCAGGCCAGCATCACATTTGGGCAGTCTTGGATTTCGCTTGGATGAATATCAAAGAAAACAACTACAACAACTAAATATTGGCTATTGGCCTACATGTCTCCAAAAAGGCGCTGTAGCTTCTGCTTTGCGCTTTTCCCTCACCGTCACCGATCCCTTTTGTTTCGAAGATTTGACAAGTTTCAGAGATCGTCCTTCACCAGGACCTTGTATCGGAAGGGCACTATGCCAGCCACTTCCTCGACAGGATCGATCGGGGCCACTAAAATTTGTCCCCAGCTGCATCTGAGGATTCCCCAAACCCTGGAGGATTCCCCAATGGACCCTGTCGGTGTTTTTCACACCGAATATGCCCGACTACCACGTCTCATCAAACCCTGGTTCCCCACAAACCAAATGGTTTGGGTGGACCATCATTCATCCGGTCGAAAGCTGATCTTACGAGATGGTACGAGTACTGGCTTGCAAAATCTTGCAAATCACCCAAGTGTCGTAGCCAAAGCCCATCTCCTCCCGTAGGCCCAGCAATTGAAGACGCCGTAAATCCTGGCGAAACCACCCCTTTCCGGCGCGTGGTTCGCCTTCGTTGTGCGTCCCTAGGCGATGTGAAAGAGCAACCCATCCGAATCAATGGACCTGCAAGAGAGTTTACAAAAATCTGGTCTTTGACCCCGTTGGCCCATGGTTTCAGTCTTCGTCTTTCCAACCTGCGACCCTTCTCGAAGGAAAAGAAAGGGAAAAAGAGGCTCTGAACGCTGCGCTAAAGGCAAACATTCTACTATTGCACGCCGATTTGGAAACCAGCTTCTATTGGCAGTATTATGGGTTGCATTCTCTCCCCCATCCGCTTCTCTTCCCCATCCTTTCCCCCCATGGCAACCATGGCCTGTAGCCTCCGCGAGCACCTGCGACGGCTGTGGGCTAGGCCAAGCCAGTAGCACACATCGATGAAGACCTGCCGCGAAGCCGTAAGAAAGAAATCCGCAGCACAGCGACCACGACGGTGACCAAAAAAACAACGCGTGAAGCGGTCATAGTGTGATGATTTGGATATGAGCTCAAGCATGTCCAAGAGTTGTAGGGCATTCACTTTGGCTCACTGGTACACAAAATGCTACCTGCTCGAGTGGCTGCGCCCTCCCCATCATAAGTCACCTCCGTGTTTCAGGGGCATTGGAGCACGCTCCACGTCTCGTTCCCTACTTTGCACCGCTTAGACTGCCCCTGAGGTTCCTATGAAAACATATGAAAACCGTGCATGTTAAATTGTTAAATGAACATAGAGCAGCTAGGATGGTCTCTGGGGCGTGTGAATAGCTATATTGTAGTGGCCTAGCAACAAAACGAAGAACGTTGAGCTCAACATGGTGGAGTCCGACAGAGACTTCCTTGGATTCATTCCTCTCTTCCTTTTGCAAAGTTCATGTTTGGGGATCCCTCTTGCAGCCGTGCAAAATGACCTTGGACCCTGGTACTACTCCCATCTCCAGCCCACTTGATGTTCAGCCACCTTGGTGGGGTTGAACTGCTCTAAGGCACCCAACTCCTGCGCTGCTCTCGACGGTTTCTGGGTCCACATAAGGTCCACGCGAGCATGAAGTATGCAGCAGAATCATGTGGCACAGTCGAAAAGAAAGGATGAGAACTTGCATCAATAATAACAAATTACGATATAGTAAGTATCAGTATATAAGTTAAAGGGGGCTCCGTGTTTATTGCGCCTGTAAACGGTGTTTTTTGCACCTGTTGGAGGTTGACGGTGTTTTCTGCGCCGGTTGGGAAACGGTGTTTTTTGCGCATGTTCGCTGGTGTTTTTTGCGCCAGCACCGGTGTTTTTTGCGCCGGTAAACGGTGTTTTTTGCACCTGTTGGTGTTTTTTGCGCCGGTAAACAGTGTTTTTTGCACCGGTTGGCAGCAGCACCTGCTGCAGCACCAGGAGCAGCATGTGCGGCGATCGCAGAAGCAGCAGCAGCAGCAGCAATCGTGGGTGAGAACACCAAGAATGCACTGCAATGGTCAAAAAGCAGGTGATGGATTGAAAGGTGAACAAGCACATGATCGTAGAGGTTAGCTTTTGGGATTTGTTTGCGAAAGGACGTGACAACTTATGTGACATGTCTTTCCGCGACAGCCCAGCCTGCTTGAACCCACTGACGGCCGCACTGTGCCTGACACAACGATCGGTTCGACGACCAAGTGGCCCAGAACATATTGCAAGACATTGCGCAAGCATATGAACCACAAAAGAGGAGGAAGAGTTCACACATGCTAGTCGAGCCTTTGCAAAGCAAAACAGCCACAATGCAAAATACTAATCACATTAAAGCTCGCGCATGCTGACACAAAGACACGCAGTACTCTGGCCACTCGCAGAGCTCGAGAAAGACGGTCTTTTTCCAGTGGCAGCAGGGCGGCAACACTTTGTAGCTGGTGGCATGCGCATGTGGCAAAGCGGCGCGAAACACCGAGATGACAGAAAGCGAACTGACTATCCTCAAGTTTGACGTCGGCGTCGCTTGCGTGGTGGGGCATCAGAGACTTTGCGACGACCTGTGCGCTTGCGGGGCTCTGGAACTTCAGTGAGAAGCAGCGGCGGCGCAGGGAAATTCGGCAAGGTCAAGCTGCGAAGGAAGGTGGAATGTTCGCACTGGCTGTGCATAGCGGCGGCAGCGCAAGAACAAAGCAAACGTGTCGGCCGCACACGCACGTACACCACATCATCAAAGTGCACACGGAAGGATTGCAGTGATAGATTTGTAGAACTGTCAAACAAGTCGGGCAAGCTGCGCGCGCTCAGCAATGTTGGTTGCATCAGCAGCCGCAAGACGCTTTGCGCCACACTCCGATTCAATGGCGAAGTTGCTGCAGTGGCTGCACAAGCAACCCAGGAATGATCTGAGCATTGTTGCACGAGGTAGCACGAGTTCGGCGGCAATTTCAAGAAGTTGGCAGCCGTGGTGCGCCCAGCTCGCGCCAAAGCTGTGCCATTCACTAACTGTGGGTCTTGTCCGGCTGGCTGGAAGCACAAAGGTGCAGCTTCTGCCCAAGCATACCAGTCCTGCCAATGCTTCGTATACAGGTTTTGTAAGGCGTGCAAACAATGGTTGATGTCCCCACGGCCGCCGAGAGAAGCCAGTTCCGTCTGCCACGCGCCATGTAAAGCTTCTGCAGGCTCACTGCCACTGCCAGAGCCGGGGATGATGCCATCGAAGCCAACCCAAAAGCTAACATAAGAAACATTCTTGGCAAACCAGTCGCTTGTTCGGAAAAAATCGAAGGCAAGGGGCGCTCGTACGTTTGCAACCAGTCGGCTAAAGTCGTTTCATCCATGCGCCGCAAGGAGGCCAAAAAAGCTTTCCACAACCAGCTGAACAAAGGCAGCGTCGGGATGAACCGAAGCAGCGCAATGATAGTCAAAGCATAATGCAAATGCTTTTTGACATGCTTACCATTGCGAAGCACAACGTGACGACACTTTGACTGCATGACGGTGTGCGATTTTTCTTTGAAGTGAAAAAAATCGTCGCATGCCCGTGAATGTGGGAACACTTCTCGACGAGCTTCTTCCGTGCTGGGGTGGAAATCTTTATGGATTTGCAAGCTTCGCTGCTCTGGCAACGGCAAACTCCGTGGCTGGCGTTCCGCCCACAAGTCACAGCAAATGCGAAACAGACGACAATAGTTGGGTTTTGTCTCTGCATGAAAGATCGCCTGCGCAACGGGCATGCCATGCGAGGTCCAGGCCCGGCTTTGGGTCCGAGAACCTTTGCCAGCTTTGGGCAAACGAGTCTTTCTCAGCTGATCTTTCACTAGTAAGCTGACCGTGGCCACCCCCATGCCGCGATTCAATACTTTCATCTTTGTGTCGACAGCCAACGCAACATCTTGTCCAGCATAGCGGTCGAAAGTGCTGAGCATTCCAGAGCAACCGAAAAGTATACAAACCTCAGTATCAGTGATGATGGGCCCCAACAACAGAAACATAGCGTCGACTTGCTTTGGAAGACTTCGCGGCAGCTGACCGACCTCCAGAGCCACTGCCGCAACAACAGCTTTATCTTTGTTCAAAGTATCTTTGTTTTTGCGACTGTTGTTTCGCAACCAATTGCCAGCTGAGTGTTGGTGGGCAAAGATGCTTCTGAACAACCCTCAGCTATGAGTGCCACACGCAAATTTTTGGCACCTCGACCACCTGCAGAGAGAAAGCGGGAAGCAATGCCCTGTTGTTTCTGAGAAAAAATCTTACCACTAGCACAAGGGGCTTCACCGTGCCCTGAATGTTCACCGGATGCTTGAATGATCAAAGTACCCGGGTTGTACAAAGTTTTGGCGAGGATGTAATGGGTTCGCCAGCGACAAGGACACACTTCACTTTCAACACATCGAACCTCAGTGAGAATACGTTCCTTATTTTGCCACACCGTCTTCAATGTCACCCTGCTGTCAGCCCACTCAGGTCTTTGCCAACGGTGTTGCAGAAGTTGCTGGTTCGACAGTAGAAGCGAACCCAGATCCACCCGAGCAATGTCTCGCCATTCGACAGCTGGCTTCTTTGTCTTCCGCTTTGCTGCTGGCTTTTCTGATGGAGGCTTGCCGCCTAAGATGGGGACTTCTGGACAAGAGACTGGAACAGGAGATGCTGTACTTTGCAAAGGTAGCTGCTCCGACGCACGAGGGTCCACTGCGTTGTCTTTGTCTGCAGGTAGAACAACGTTAACGTGAACATCCGTAACATCGAGACCTCTTTCAGGGCACGCACCCAGAAAAGCTGCATGATCAACGTGCGAACGATTTCCAAAATGAGAAACAGGCACCCTGTGTTTCCGTAGCCAATCCAAGCAACCAGGCGACAGCGACGCCACATGGTATTTGCAGAACCGGACAGCAGCACCTGACACTCGAAGCTCGCCGAGGCCCAGGTCTTTAAGCTGGTCCCACAATGCAGCAATTCGTTTGCGGGCAAGGCTTGCAGCGCTGCTGGAACCTTTCTCGAGACTTCTTTCCAACGCCAGATCTGCGCAAAAAGTATGCTCCAAAGTGATGGCCGAGCCGGGCGCTGCCCGCAGAACGCGAAGCAGCAAGGGGAGCAAGTCATCCTCCGGGTCGCCGATATCTGCTCGGCGATGCAGCCAAGCTTGCTCTTTGGAAGTGACACTAACAATGGCCTGGCCAAACAGATACCGTTTAAGCATGAACTGGACACTCGCAGCAAAACATTGGTTGGAGACAGTGATCGGAAAATCAGCTGGAATGTCTCGTTGCAGCCCCGCCGGCCACAAAGTCGCAAGGAGGTGATTAGTGAGAATCCCTGTTCCAAGCCAATACATAGCCTTTGGCATGGCTTCACGAAACACTGTGTGCACAGAATCTTTTCGCGCAAACAGGCGCCCAATTTCTTCGAGCTCGACAATTACAGCACGCTGTGCTTGCGTAGTGTGAAAAACAAACTCTGAAAGGGTTGTAACATGAGGCCCAAACCGCCGGAGGATGGCACTAAAGATTTGCTCGAGAATAGGTACAGTGACATCTCGCAAGAAACTGTTCCAGGACTGCTTGCCCATGTTCAACCGAGCCCCGAAGGAAAAAAGAAAGCGTTGGACCAGCCCAAGTGGTTTTGTGGCAGCCACAGGCGCCCACCAAGTGGAAAGAAACAACTCCTGCTGCAGAAAGATGACGTGAAGGTTGGTTTCTTTCAAGGTAAGGCCAGCAGGTTCTGGCACAGGGGCTCTCGGATCCGGGACCTTGTGTTTCAGCACTTTTTGGCGGTCGAGTTGTGTGCTGAAGCTGAAAGACCCGCCGTGGGCCGCGTTCAAGAAAAGTTGGAAGTCGATGAACTTGGATGGGTCGGTAGCACCTCCGTTTGCGAAAGCGGGGCAAAGGCAAGCGCCAGCTTCGTCCGAATGAATGGCCAAATATCCGTCGCAGAAGCGAAGCTTCTCGCGAGCCGCTGCCGAAGTGCTGCCCTGTTGCAAATGGAACTGATCGCTAGGCGAACCCACAGTGAATGCTGTGTTTTGGTGCAAAGCTTTTTCCACTGCTTCCACCACAGGTGTCATTGCCGGAGACTTGCCTTCGGCAACGTTGGCAGTGCCAACCATCCAGTACCGATTTTTGGTGTGATACCTTTCAGTGAGCTGCACGCCCGCTCGCTTGTGCAGCACTGCATTTGCGAAACTTTGCACGAGATCTATCCAGAAAACTAATGGAATGGCAGTGGCTCGCGCTGTAGCTTCAAGCAAGACAGCCAAGGGGTAGACCACAGTGTCGCCGATCCAGGGCACAATCTCGAGAGCAGCGTGGCTGTTCACCTTGTCCAAACACAAATCGGCCACCTGCGCTTGGTAGTGCTCGGCAAGCTTGTCAAGGGAGCCGTCCAAGTCTGGTGAAAACAGCGGAAGGTCAGCAAGGAAAGCGTGGCAATCGCCTCCAGTTTCAAACAGCTCAAGCAGCTGCAAGGCGTGGTCGCCCAGGGCATCATGGCCATGAGTTCCAGGCATAAATTCCCGCGGTGAATCTGGCTGAGTTTGCGCAGAACCATCGTTGTCCAGCTCTTCCACGGAACCTGCGTGCACCTGGCCCAAGCAAGACTGAAAGCTGTGAACCTGAAACACGTGGCACATGTGACAAAGCTTATTACATGATGTTGATCCAAACACATGGACTATACGAACCCTCACTTCAGGCCCACCTCGGCTGAAGAATTTGAGCCGCCAGCTTGGTCAGCGTCTTCGGACCTGGGAGAAGACGGCGCGCTGCGTGGAGAGGACATCGGAGACGGAGCTGCATGTATTCGCTCATACAAGAAATACCGTCCGTGTGTTTGCAGATGCTGCGGTTCTTTGGGCAAACGCTTTGGGACGGCTCCATCATTGTATTGCACCCACACATCGTCTGGCGTCAGAACAAAAGCAATGTAATGGCCGCTGTCAAAGGCTTCTCCTCGATGTAGCACTGCTGCCCGAAGGCGGAACACATACTTTGCATGCTCAAACTCGATCGGCGCAAACACAGCTGTGCGGCTCAAAGGAAGGCCAGGACCTGTTTCGCGGACAAGTTGCAAAAGCGCAACACTTCCCAGGTGCCACGACGAAACTTGATGAAATGCACTTTTGACATTGCAATGTGGACATGGCAAACCGCCATCCAGAATTTCACTCTCCTGCGGAAGCAACAAATCTGGCAAAGACAGGGCAGCGGTCTCATCAAAAGGCGGAAGGGAAAGCAGCACGACTGCATGTGGCGTAAGCAATGGCTCACGTGGTGGAAGCTCAATCGGACATAGGCACTGCAGCTGATGCCGCCGTGTTTGCCGGTAGCCCGCCGACAGAATGTTCAAAACGCCGAGGTCACGGTCACGCTCAGCAACTTTGCCCAGAAACTCTAACGGATCTTGCTGCCTATCGAAGCCAAGCTTGAATGCACGCAACGGTTCTTTCCACAGGGGTTCCAAATCGGTTGCAGACCCACTCGCACAGCTCACCGTGTGCGACTCGCGCAAAGCGCATTGCCAGCAAGTGTTGCCACAATGTCTCGTCTGTTGGTGTTGGGAGATGGCATCAACTATTGGCATGCATGAGAACATGGACTGCAACAGACTAGCCAGCCAGCAGGATGTGCCGGACACATTCGGAAACACGCCTCGAAGACGGAAACCTGCGCCAGCAGGATGCAAAACAGTGACTTATTATTCGCCAACACAAAACACCGACCCTGCCTGCCGTGTTGCCGTTGGAGATGTGAGCCGCTCGGTTGCGACACTTCCGTGACAGACTCCAGCGAAAGGTGGTGAAGCCCCACGCCGCAGTGGTTCCGAAGGGAACATCTGGGCCCATGTCGCACAAAAGCTGGACAGCCTGCAGGGTAAGTTCTATACAAGGAGACAGCGGCATGCTGCGTGACAGCCGATCACACAACCGACCTCCAGCTCCAGTGGCAGCGCGGTCGCGCGGCTCTCTGCAATCCTGCGCAACCTGAGACATCATGAAACGGTGACAGCGGTAACAAAAACCACATTGTACTCAAGGACTGGACGCAGTCGCGATCAACGAACGTCGCCAGGCTCGAGTGGGGCGACCCCATTGATGCTGCGCGTCGCCTGAGATTTTTTTCACAGAACCCGGCAGTTGTTTACTGTCTGGGGCCTCTGCACCAACCCAGGGCGAAAAACAGCCCAGAAGGAAACTCCTCAAGAGGAACAGGAATGATGGGAACAGAACACACGGCACATGACCTATACCGAGCCTCTTGGGCTTGCTGCCACGCAAACTCAAGAAAGGCATCGTCCTGGAAGAACAAAAGTTCGAAAAGGACGGCGAAGCCGAGTTCAGCCAGTGCAGCACAGCTAATGCACCTTCGAAGCCGTAGTGTGCTCGGCAGCAACAGCACGACACCTATCCCACGAAGGCATTGGATCACAAAGCGAAAGTGCAAAGACTATAGTGACATCGACCACGCACCACCTCCTCTTGGTTCGAGACCGCGCTGGGACCTGCGCTGCTGACGGCACGACTCTGGCACGACACGTCGCTCACTGACTGTTTGAGCTAAGGCTTCAACCACGGCGGACGGTGTCTGCGTGACTTCCTGCAAGGGCGCCGGGCTAAAGCGAAGTTAAAGCAAAAATGCTTTCCGCGAAGATGTCCTTCGTGAAGTCGTATGGCACAGTGATCCACCCCACCTCGAAGACACGACAGCTGTCTGTTACGATGTGACGAACAGTGCGAGGCTGGGCAACCGGCAGGTGTTTGCACTGTTAAACGACAACCCCAGAACTTGTGCAAGTAGCGGTCAAGTTCAAGGTCGAACACCTCGGGCCAAGCAGCGCGACTAGCCTGCGAACTCACGGCAACTAAAAGCCAGGCCTCCGTGTAGGACTCGGCATCATCTGCCCATCGAGGAGCCCTGGCGCCTGACGACCGCAGAACGTGTGATGCCGTGGAAATGAGGCAGCCACAGGCAACAGGAGCACTGAGCTTCCGGCACATGGACGCACATCAAAGCAGGAAACCAACGAGAGCCGAACACTGCTGCGACGGACCAAACATGTATAAGCCCAGCATGCACAAAACAGCCGGCCTCAAGACAACCACGGACGGACACGTCTGAGCAATTCTGAGGCACGAACTCGGTGACAGAGGGTGCCGGTGAACAGCCTTCAACGAGAGAAAAGCATCAGACCAAATGTGAACAAACTGCCTGTCTGAGCAATTCTGAGGCACGAACTCGGTGTCCGAGGGTGCCGGTGAACAGCCTGCAACGAGAGAAAAGCATCAGACCAAATGTGACCAAACTGCAGTGCTACAAGTCATAACTCCACCGTTACAAGCCAACAGACCGTGTCAAAAAAAAACTTCTGAGGCACGAGCTCGGCGACAGAGGGTGCCGCAGAACAGCAAAAAACACAGTGGAACAGGTGCAAAAAACACCGTGGAACAGGTGCAAAAAACACCGTGACTGGGGCACAGGCGCAGAAAACACTGATTACAGGTCTAAAAAACACCGAGTAAGTTAACAGGTTGGAAAAACACCGTTTACAGGCGCAATAAACACCAAGCCCAGTTAAAGGTAATGCAGTAATGCCTGACAGCAACATCCTCTCACCCATGGTCATCAACTGACATGAATGCACATCTACTGCAATCTACTACTAGTATGCCCCCCAAATCCGAACATGCCAACAACCAATTCTATATAAGGACCCTTCCTTTATACATCTTTATACCACCTTCCTTTGAGTGCTGATGCTTCATCTTTGCCTCCATCTGTTTCTACCACGCCCTGCCCACGCCCGATCGTGCCCCCACACCCGGCCCATGCAAAAAAATAAAACTAAGGAGGAGGCCAAGGTGCGGCCGCGGCATAGTCCCAGGGGAACAAGTGGTGGTAGTCGTGCCAGCCTTCGCCCAATGAGAACCTCACCATATCGGTGTTTTTCCCGATCCCTTTTGAGGGCCAGGGGGGTGGGGTCCCGGTCCGGTCCGGCAGCGAAGTGGTGATGGTGCGGCAGCATTTTTTTGGTAGACCTTTGATTCATAACACCCCCCCATTTGAATTGAAGGACCTCTTCATATATGGGATGGCTTTTTGATCAAGTCTACATTAGGGTGCCCGAGTGGGATCTCGTCTGATAGGTCTACTTCTTGGAGTTATGTCACCTACAAACCATCGGCCTTGGCGGAAAGGGCCACAGTGGGATTCAAAGGCTGAGATGCCACCTGATGCCACATGCACATGCACATGACCCGCAACGTCCAGCACGAAAGGATTATGATTGGATAGTTCACCATAGGCAGGCGGTGGGAGGTCAAGCATTCTCTGGCTGACACGGAATTTGTCTCATGATACTTCTTCAAATGTCTCCACCCATCTCCAAGATACCTGCCCCTGCCTGTTTTTTTTTCACTACCGTCCAGCATGCCACGATCACCAGCCAACAACCCCGCCTGTATAACTACACTCCCCCCAAAAAAAACAACTGATTTATATAGCATAGACTTAGACATCATGATCTTCACCGTTTCTGATCCATCTTGACCCATCTCCACAAAGAACTCCTCTCACTTCCTTTCCCACCACTCCGCCTCCCTTCCCACCATCTGACCATCTGACCGGTCCCAGCCGCAACGTCACCGCCAGGCTCACGCGCGGCCCCACCCCATCGGCCGCGGGGTCGAAGGAGTAGACGTCGTCGTGGCGCAACGTCCCGTGCGCCACCGAGTTCACCTCGCTGTCGGTGCCACGCGCGGTGGGTGTGCCGCATGCGGGGAGAAGTGCAATGGCCCAGACAGAACAAATCCCCCAAGATTGATAAATTCTACATAGGAACGGAAATAGACAGGGCAGTAATTATAGCATAGTATATATATATAGGATAATACATGGTACAGGATATGTTCTTGATTCTTGTACGTTTTTGATCTGTTTCTTGTCCTTCTTGCATGGACCATCGCCCCATCGTCCGCCGTTGGCGAAAAGCGCCCAGCGGCTGCGAAGGTGATGTGCTGCACCAGAGCCCAGCGGAGGGCACCGGCTACAAAGAGCCCCGTCCACGGATCGGACCAGAAGCTGCAAAGAAGGCTTGGGAGGCCTAAGGACCACAACCTTGGGCACATCAGCCGCCATATCATCATCATCATCATCATCATCATCATCATCATCATCATCATCATCATCATCATC